CAATTCAGTCAACTTGCATTGTAAGTATTAGACATGTTTACTTTTCTTTGATGAACATGACGTCGTCTACTGTCATATGAATGAACATTGTTCACCGATCGCAATAAAACGAAATCAATAAATGTTAGGAAGAGAATAGCAGCTGTTGATGATCGTATTGAACGATACCTTGATCAATATTACATATTTCTTTCTATATTGAGGTTAAACATTCTATTCTTCGTCGATGGAAAAGATACGAAGAAGTATTCATCTTCTTGATTTACTCAATGAAATATTTTTTTTTATCTTGAAGAAATTAGACAATATTGATGTTCTTTATTCATTATTTGGAATCAATAATGAACGGCTTGATATTTTAGTACAAGATGATGTATTTACTAACACTCTTAATCTTGCAACGACATTATCAATTACTGATGTAAAACTTGATTGACTTTGTACTTTTATATTACCTCAAGTTTATCGTTCTATCAAAAAAACTCGTTCTCAAAATAACATCTATGGAACATATTCTCCTTGCTGGCGATTATCCAAATTTGACTTCTCTAGAAATCTTCAACTTCGATCAAGAGGAAGTTTTTCGTTTTTTTTACAGGTAAACATTTAACATTCTCTCAAGTAATCAAAATATAAAAACATCCCTTGTTCTTCATAATGATGATGATGAATATATCAGATAAACATCATTGAAGACTTATAATATAAATGTGTATGCACCTATCTTAACTCCTTTTGAAAATCTGAGGCATTTCACAATTATTTCATCATCTGGCAACGAGTATCCACCTTTATCACTTTGTAGTCTACCATCAACTACTTATTTCTATTCGACTCTTACTGTATTATGTATTAGTATGTATCAATTTGAAGATTGTCTCTCTTTACTTGATGGTCGACTCAAACAACTAAGCACTTTCATTGTTCAAATTCATTATATCTTCAATCTGAGATTGGTTCATCTCAATAAGGTAAGTTCATACTATTTTATTATTGTTATCAGATTAATTGATAATATGAATGATAGAATGATGTTAATGTTTCGCGTGATTATTACAATATAATAGTGAATAGAACATCATGGTATTGACCATTGTAAAAGCATTAGAAATAGAAAGAGCTCTTGTTATTTTCTTATTATTAGTCGAAAATGATTGTCTAGTCTTTTCTCGATAAGTAACTTTATTGACTCTCTTTTAAATATTCAAACAATAAATTCGATAGTTGAGTTATGTTCTAACAAATATACAAACTAATGAAATTTTTCTGAATACAAAACAAAGACTGCGAAATTTATCAAGATTATATGATTGTCTTTCTCTTACTTACAGCAAAAAGATGAGAGTATTCAAATAAACTACACTGCTTAAGGACATATCAATTAAAATATTTACACGAATAAACTTGTATTTAACTAAGTAGAATGTCTGTAAAAATGATAGTTGTAATGGAGATAGGAAACTATTTTATCCTTAATCATATTAAGAACATTTCATGCAATAAATCAGTCTTTAGTCGAAAGAAAAATGAGTAAGGATGAATGGGGCGATGTCTACTTTCCTTTTCCACGTTTCTACCCATCGACATTCTGACTGTTCGTGTTATTCAGCTGAGTCAATTCATGCAGATTCAGAAATCTACTAATGTTTAGGTTCTTCAAATCTCTGGAAATTGTGTATTGAAACATGTTGAAAATAAGTGCAGCTGTTTGAATTGATTTTTCTCATAAATTGTTTATGTTAGCTGAACTAATGAATATTATCATTTTTCCTTTATTTCCTCGTAAATCTAATGATGATATTCAGCAAACATTTACAAGTATAAGATATGGACAAACGGCTTGCATCATAGATTATTTCAATGGCGGCCATAAGGCCATGTGTCATGTTTACTCGCTTCCATTCACATTTACTCGTCTGGAAAAGATCATGACTCATTTTCCAACTATTGTATTTGATACTGTAACTCATTTTTCTGTCTACGATATGATTTCAATGAAACATAAATTCTTCATGCGAATTAGTCGAGCTTTTCCGTTGCTTAAATATTTCTCTATGGAGAATGAAATGTGGCAATCACGGAATTATGATGAATGGAAATCCGATGAGAATTCATCTTATTCAGTTATTGAATATTCTCATCTTACATCACTTGACATCGTATGTGTGCATATACATTATGTTGTACAATTTTTACTCGAAACAAAGACATATCTACCTCATCTAACTGAGTTAAAAGTCAATTATCATCAATTGAAAATTGCAACAATGAACTGTACAAGAGACAAAACACGACGCAATTGTTGTAACGTGAAACGATTAATTATTGTCGAAACACCACGAGTTTATTCAAAAGAATTCTATCAATATTTTCCTTCATGGTAAACTGAACTCTATGTTGTTGATTTCAATAAAAATAAATCTATTATAACGAAATAAAAGAAAAAAAGAGTAAGAAAGGTGAATTGTTTATGATCGAGTTTTGAGTTGTAAATAGATATTTCGATTGAAAAATTTGAAGGTTCACTATGAGATTGTATGAGAATTTCAGAATGAAAAATAGAACAAAAAAAAAGAGATTTCACGCAATGATTTAATTACCGATCAAAATAAATACATTATTAAAAAATAAAATTTCAGCAATGAACCATTTGGTAAATTCTTCAAAGATAATATTCCAATAAAAATAGCCATCCCTTCATAAAATCTTAGGAAATATGCAATTCGTCTTTGACAGAAGCTGTAGCTATTAGTATTTTCATTATCATTGTTTTCGAGTGATACAAAATTTTAGATAAACTATTTTGTAGACAATTACAATTCGTATTTCATTAGAGACATAGTCAAAGGTAGCTTCATTCGTTTTCTGACACTCTACTTCATTGCTGTTTAGATTAATAAAAGAGACAAATTGCATGAATATAGTACTATTCACACAATTTCTTATCAACGAACTGCAGTCAAATAGTGCAAGCTACTGCAGACGATAGTATGTTTCACAAGCAATTAATTTATACATATACTACATCAAAAGAACCATAAAACAAATGCGAAGCGAATAAAAAGAATGAGAACGAATATATATATAAGCATATGAGAAAGTAAAGAAAGCAACAAGACTAGAATATAGTATATTTACGCTCGATGTGTGTCTGATGATCTTTTAATAGAAAGAGAAGGAAACAAGTAGCAGCATATGTATCATCTTGTAACAGCCTTTTTCTCTAGTCTTATTAGATCTAGTTTGATAAGAGAAGTCTCGTTTTCAGGAGCACTAGCTAAGTTCCATAAATTTGAAATTCATATGAGTATTCAATTTTAAAGACAAAACTGCGCTCTACTGAACTTAGTTGATGGAATTTCACGCTGTTTCACATGGCACATCGTCGTGTCGAAGTGCTTCAGAACAACTTATTATTTAAGATCATATGATTGTCCATGGATTCCCTACGACTTCAGATTTGATAAAATACAGTTACGTCTCCAACTCAAGGTGGAAATATCGCACTCGAGTACTTCGGAAGTACAATATAGAGAAAAGTTTTTAAAAAAGTAGGCAAAATTATATTGATATGCTATGAACTATTATGAAGTGTTTCAGAGTACCTATGAGTATCACTTTTTTTTATTGATTTCTTAGATCTATCTGAAATTAAAGCGGATTCCGAAGTGACAGTTAACTGAAGAACTTTTTTAAAGGGATTCCAATTCAGACAAATAATTCAATGGAAAATTTCCTATTCTTGCGTATCAGTTCCACCCATAACTTGACAAATTGTACAAAATCTCATATAAAATACTCAACTAATATAGTATCCTTTGAACTTAATCCACCAAAAAATATAGAATTTTTTTTTCGAGAACTGTTTCCATTCGAGCTTCAAGAAAAATTTAAGAGTATATAGTCTTACCTTTTTCTTTTTCGATCTAAAAGAGCTCGTCGATTCTTATTAGGCTCGTTTAATCCTGCCACCGCCGATAACACATTATTCTATCAAAATATATCAATGTATAAAAAAAATAATGCTACTAACTTACTGTATTATCACACCGTATATCCAGTTGCCTCAACTCGACTGTGGTCGAATGCTAAATAAGATAACAAATTTATCTTGAAATAGTGTAACAAGAATTTGAAAAACATTTACTTGACCAAATACTGAATTAGACGAGTTAATTATTGACTGAAATGTGTCATTATTGTTCGGAACGCCGAACTGGAAATTTTGTCTATTGATAGATTTGTGAAATTTATTGAAATTGTTTGTATTAGTGTTATCAGTTTGATAATCAGTAAGATGAGTGATCGATGCTATCTCGTGAATATTTGAAATACTCTCGTTAAGTTCCGAATTCTAAGAATATAATTAATTATTACAATTTTCATTTAAGAATGTATTCATTAACAAAGATTTTTGTTTTTTGAAATCTGATATTTTCTTAATTGATATGACTAGAAATTTCTTTTTTTTAGAATCATTTTGAGCGAATTCTTCTATGAATATTCATCTTGTAGAAGAAAATAGAAACGAGAATTTCTTATCAAGTAACTGAATCTTTGTCTGAAAACAAATTGAAAGTAACATTCAGTTTGTAATTAATGCTATATGACTAACATTATGCAGTCATCTAATTGTCATACTATCTCACATTCTTTGCTGTTGAAAATTGCCTCGCTGTGGTATCATGAGGATCTATCATTGGATGAATCGCTTGCCGTGTATGATGTTTATTGTTAATTTTTAATGTTAAAAATTGATCTGAACGATCTAATGACTGCGTAATGAAAAAAAAAAGAATTGGAATAGTTTCTTATAAGAATAAGACAATGAGAAAAAACTTGCATCTGATAACATTTGATGTTGTGCAACTCTATGGACATTCGATTTGTTTGTACGACTGAAATTGTTTATTGATGAAGTAAGTGCAGATCGACTGATGGTTGAGACCTAACTTTCCAAATAACATTAGAGTATAGAAGAGAAAAAGCTTGAAATCATACTTTAACTCCACTAGTTTTTCCTCTCAGTGTTTTACGTGGCATGATCAGTTTTTTTTAAAATATAGTATTGTCAGAAATTATAATAATGCTTGCTTCGTTTTTTAGTGAAATATAAAATAGATGTGTCAAAGTACAATAGCCAGTAGGTGATAGATTCAAAAAGTAATTATTTATGAGGCTTCACTTGTCAATAATCTAATTTTACTGTCTATTTGCACATGAAGAAACAGAAAATATAGTAGTATAACTACGGTAGAAACGAAGAGCTCTATTTTGATAATTGCAATTTCATTCATTTCTGAAATGTCGAGTCCATCTGTTTTTCTTCGATAGAAAAACTAATCTTTCTCGTTACTTTATGTTTTGATAAATTCGCATAGATATGCAAACCATTCTCTCAAATAATTTAGTAGGAATGGATGAAATTAATATTTATATAGAGAAATTGAAAGGTTTCTTCTTTTTTAACAAAGGATTTACGTTAATGATATGAATTCTGCAATAGTCTTTCTAGACTTTTTTTTAACACAAATTATAATGAATTATTAATGTATGAAATACTGCCATCGGGAGAATCGCTATTC